CTTGGGCGCCGGGGTTGCCGCACAAGGACTGGCATGTCAGAACTTTTATTAATAAAAAAAGTTACAATAACTTACTCCCTTTGCCACACAAAGGGCTCAGTATAAAGAGCTCTGGCTTCTTAAGACACCCAGAGGAAGCAAGCCCTCAGAGTCCTCGTCCCTTGCCCTCTGAGACGACTGCCGTCTCCCGCCCCGTGGCGCAGCCTGGCGCAGGGACTGCCAGCCGAAGCGACCAGGAGCTGGTGGCCACGCAGAGCCCTTGAGGCCTGGCGCAGCAGGGCAGCGACGCTTGCCTGCTCGCAGCTGGTTCAAGGGCCACAGACCTACGTGGAGGGTGCAGACAGAGGTGAAGTATATGGGGATCACTGGCACTGGATGCCAGATGGTTTGTGAGCTACAGCGTAGGGGGAGAGAGAAGTGGCTGCTTCTTCCCATGGTGCTGAGGGGGGCTGTGGAGGCACAAACGGTGGAGCCACAGGACGGCTGCTATCTGCAGGCAGTGGGAGGTAGGGGCCGATGGGAAGCAGCCCTGCCTTCCATGCTACCATCTCACACAAGGCTTGGCCTGGCGGAGCGGGAGGCCATTGTGGCTACTTGTCACACTCCATATCCTGGGCCCCCTCAGCACCCTGGTAGTGCATCTCACAGAACTCCTGGATGCGGCTGCAGGCCTCCAAGATCATCTCCTCAGGCACTGTGATCACCACGCGGAAGAAATTTGGGTACTCAAAGCACTGAAACGAGAAAGGACGAAGCTGGAAGATTAGCTAGGATGGTGCCAGTGTCTCAGAGTGTTGGTGGCCTTGTCAGGGCCACATGCTGTGTCAGCAAGTGAAGATGGTCAGTGGGGGCTAGAGAATATGGACAGCTCTGGCTCAGCTCTGGCTCCCCTAGACTAGTTGATCTGTTCCAAGCAAATCTCCCATCTCCATTTGTAAATCTGCTCTCAGTGCAGACATGCTGCTGTGGACATCATAGGCCAAAGGAACTCTGTGCAAACTGTGCAGGACCCAGGGAACGAGCTGAAGGAGCTTGGGACTCCTCATCAAAGGCTTCGGGAGGAGAGGGCTGGATGGAGAATGACTGAGGCCCGGTCCAGATCTAGGTGCAGGAAGTGGAACAGGAAGGAGACTGGCACAGGGTACGATGCTCTGAGCCTCTAGCCTGTCCCTCCATTCATAGAGGTGAAGGGCTGGAAAGGGGATATGAAATTGGGTGGGAGCAGGCCTGTGCCTCAGAGAGCAGCTGCTTCAGCGAGGAGGCATGGGGCACAGATTTCAGGGATGCAACTCTGCCAATTTGGAAAGGACAGAGCAAGTCTGGAGCTCTACCGAGGGCTGCTAGTGAGCCAGAGACTGCCGGTACCCAACCCACCACGTATCTGGAGTTCACAGCCAGCAGGTATGCACTGTCACCCTGGGCACTGCACTCAGGGCTCCCTGCCTATCCCCAGAGCTCCAACACCCTACGGCTCCCTCTCCTTCTCCCCACGCTTGGCCCTGCAGCTCCCAGAGCGAGACTCACCGTGGCTGGCAGACAGAACACAGACTGCTCCGAGATGAGCCGCTCTGTGAACTCCACATCATTTTCAAACTCGGGGAAATGCTCCATCTCAATCTCAACCTGCAGCAGAGAGATGAAATATGGCAACCAAGGGCACCAACATTATCTGCAGTGTCCCCGCTTGGGCCACGTGGCCCAAGAGCTGCTCACCCTTCCTAGCCAAGTGCAGCTCTGTGCCCTCAACAATTCTTGCTCATCATTTGAACTGACTGGGACGTAAAGCAGAAATATTTAAATGAGAATTGGCGATTCTTTAAGAAGTATCGATTAGCTACCCAAAGTAGCTAGTTTCATCAATGAAGCTGCAGTTTCACAGTTAAGGGCAAATTCAGTCAAAAGCTGATTGCAAAGATACAGGAAACAATTAGAAATGAAAAGCAATAAATAAGACATTGAAAAAGAACTTGAGAGAAAACTGTAGTCAATATGCATTAATAATTCTGTCATGCAAGAAATCCATAGGCAAGTAAAAGAGACTGAAGACCAGTTAATGGGTAAAAAAAGATAACAAGGCACAGAATACTAAGAACAAAAGAAGTCCTTGCAATTAAATATATGAGGATGATAGAATTGATAAGATGATATAGAAAGGCTGAAATGTTCAATAAATATTTCTGTTCTGCATTTGGAAAGAAGGAAGCTGTCCCCTCATCACATAAGGACAGCGACGTTCTGGCCATCTGTTTATAACCAAAGATGATTTAAAATATCTCAGGAAAATATGTTTAAATAAAAAAGATGAGAGATAACTTGCATGCAAAGAGTGGAAGAAACCTTTCACCAGCATATTTCATTTGAAATAAATGTTCAGATACTGCAGAAATGCTAAAGGTCTGAAAGAATCTTAGCGCTGTGCTATTACCAACATAAGCAGAAATGACCCATGTAACTCTGGGTAAAACTGGGAACAGGATCAAGTGATAAAGATTTATCTACAGGACGTGAGTGAGACTGACATTGCAGTACTCTCCAGCTCTGGGTCCAAATTGTTGAAAGCTAACAAAAAACTGGAGAAACTGTGAGAGAGAAAACCTTTCAAAAACATGTTAAACTTAAGAGACTTAAAGGTTTTAGTTGAGCTTGCTGAGATGAGAAAGCAGAAATTTCTCTACATTGTAGAAGGTAAAAAAATATTAGGTACGGAGAAAGGCGGAAAAAGAGGCAACAGAGTAGGCAGGAGACAGATGCGCTAGTAGGAAGAAGGGTACAGTCTTCAACAGCAAGTGCGGTAATCTGATGTGGGGTGTAGGGGCTTCTCATCTTCCAGCTGTTTTCAAATCCAGGCGAAATAACATTGCCTTGCCAAGTACAAGCTATTGAGTTCTATACAGAGGCGAGAGGGTAAAATGTACTAGCCTCTGCTGCGTGTGAAGCAGACATCCTGCTCTGGCCTTCTAAAATGACAAAGGGATGGATCCACTGCACTGTGTAATGTGAAGATACACAGTACCAGAGTCCTGGTGCCAAGCACTAACCTGAGGCCATTAACAAGTCACTGGAAGAGAGACCTAGTGTGAGCGCTGATGATCTGAAAATGGCATGTCACCCTCCTCACTTACCATGAGGTACATGGCTCCTGCAGGCCGGACAGGCTGGAGACCAGGGATAGCCGACAGGGCAGCATAGCAAAGGTCAGCATTGGACTGAAAAGCAGATAGGAGAAAGTTCAAAACAGGAGAAATTCCAGGAAGCAGCTCAGCAAATGGAAGCCAAGCTCCAAGCTAGGACTACAGACAGGTTTGCTCACTGCAGATAAAGGGGCAACAAACACAAACAGCTTTGGTGCTCATGGCCTTGAGTACAGCAGGTGTGACTGACCTGAGCTCAGCAAGTTGGTGCCACTGCATCGCCAGCTCCAACTGCAGGGCTGCCTGAAACTCGTCACAACCGATATTCCTGCCCCACTTACCATGTCTCCGGCTAGAATTGGATTTGTTGGGCTCTTCTGATGACGGATAGGACTTCTGCCCTGCACCTTGAAGCAGGGGAGGATAGGCTAGAAAGACACAGCTCCCCCAAAACAATTCATGAACAGACTTTGCTGGTCTGTTACAGCCTGTTTACCTTGAGGATGCTGAGGGTGTTGTGGTAGAACTCAGGGGGTGTTCGGTGCAATATATGTTCCAGTGCTCCTTGGATGATTGTGCAGGGTCCTAAGATCCTTTGACTGAGTCTTAGAAGGCCATCCCTGATCTGAAAAAAAACTCAGTGACATTTGCAGCTCAGAGACTGTTCTTTACTGAAGAAAGAGCCCCAAGGCCTAGTGTCTGCATTTCTGCAGCTGTTCAGAGAGGGCAGCTCATACCTCTCTTCAGTGAGCATACAGAGCACCTCAGAACATTTGCTTTACTGTATGCCACATGTTTGCAGACTGTTCTCAATGTCATTCTCTGTGCCCGAGTTGCAGATAAAGATACCAACAGAGACCACCTTTGGAGCGTCCCAAACTGACCTAAAACAGTCTGGAACATAGCTAATATAAACAGAGTCAGAGCCATTGCTTTTGCCTTAGGTTTGGGGCCACTATCCACACTTTCATCAAAGCCGGCTAAGGAGAGCCGATATTAACTCTTCTGCTCATTCAGTTGCTCCTCTCGTCTCCTTCTTTCTGTGCCGAAAGGCCTCCAGGTGGAAAGGCTGCTGCAGGAGATGGGTGTTCTTATAACACAGTTGTACAAATGGCCAGGTAAGGCACTGGCTGCACTGCATGATGCTTTGTTCCCACTTATAAGAGAAACCATGATAGAGCACATAGAGACCACACACGGACTTCACGTGCTGGATCAACAATGCAATACCTTCAGTGCACACACAAACTGCCTGAGAAGAGAAGCAGAAGCACGCAAACAAGACAAGGAATACATGAAGCAGCCGAAACAAGGAGTGTGTTAGAGTGCAAATGTGGGTATCAGGCCATATATGGAAGCAGATGGCATAAGGAAGGGACATGAAAAGCCTGAGAAACATGGGGGCGGAGAAACATGTGAGCAACAGGGTGACACCCATGTGAGAGCAAAAAAGCAGTACATGCCTGTATCAGCTAAGGCCCCGGTGACACATGCACTGAACACGCTGCCGGTCTGTTGCTATGACAGTGATGCTTGGCAGTTCTTACCTCGTTACCAAAGATGTCTCTCCTGTCATGGATCAGGATCCAGCCCATCCGCCAGCCAGGGACTAGCCACCGCTTTGCCAAGCCACCACAGGACAAGATTGGCACATTGGTGCTGAGAGTTGCAATAGGTTCATATTTGCAGTCAGCAAACACCTGTGGTATAGGAGGCTGAGTGAGGGCTGTTATCTTCTCCCTACACGCTGCAAACACTGAATGGGGAGGCTATGTGCATGAGGCACTGCAAGAAGAAGGGAGGCAAGGGGAGTCATGAGAAATTGATGGTGAAATCCACCAGCTCCAAGGTATGACAGTAGTAAGTGCATTCACATGGGAGTGAGCTGTCTGAGAAGAGGAAAGGAGCTAGACATGAGAAGTACCCCCTAGGACTGGAAATTACAGGACTAGGAGATTCAGGCGTAGACTCAAGCACAATACAGGGAAGCGGAATTGTCGCTTGCCTCTGGACAGCGGGCTGCCTTGGCCAAAGTTCGTCAGAAGGGACAGGCTGCGTAGGGGTGCAAAGGGCTGTGACAGACACTCACCATGTCTCCATAGATCTCATCAGCAAGGATGGGCACGCAGTGTCTTGAGGCCACTGTGGGAGAGAGGGCATTCAGCCTGGCCACCCTGCATCCTCCATGGGAGCAGATTTGCCCTCTGCTGCAAGGCCTGGCAGGGCTTGGAAATAAACTCTGCCCTATTTTCTTCCTGCAGCCTGTACACTTGGATTGGCCAAGCACTAGAGGGCCCTGCTAGGCCTACTTCTGCTCTCACCTGTGGGGGCAGGCAGCACAGCCCCCACTGACTGACAGGGCCAGGGCACAGCAGCCATAGGGCTCCCTCTGAAGCCAGAGTGGGGAAAATGAGCAGTCCAAGACACACAGGACATTTGGGAAAGAACAAGGCACAAGCCCTGCCTGTTCTTGCCCAGATAAGGCAAGCCCTTCATCCTGACCAAGCCCCTGTTCCCTGGGCTGGAGCCAGGCACGCAGGAGAAGGGCAAAGCCTGGGGCCACAGCACTGCTTTGCTGCAGTGTTCTCACTGTGCAGGCTGACAGCCATGACCCTGCAGAACCACAGTGACTGAGACGTGGGCAACTTGGGCAGACAGCAGACTGCAGCCCTGCACCAGATGTGCATAGGCAGGCTCACCTGCCAGGATCTTCTGGAGGTGGCTCTTGCTGAATACAGAGCCACAGGGGTTGGATGGGTTGTTAATGACGAGACAAGCTGTCTTCTCATCCACCAGTGACTCCAAGTGCTTCAGATCAATTTCCCAGGACTTCTCTGGCTAGTGAGGAGAATGGAAGTAAAGCTGAGGAACTGGGCTTGCCACACAGGGTAGGTGTGACAAGGTGTCCAGGGCTGCTCAAGTCAAGGGAGGGCCAGAGTATAACTGGGAGGCAGAAATATCGGGGCTGCCCCTCCTAGGCCTGCCATCACTTACCAAGAGGTTGTAGAATTTAACTTCAATCCCCATGGACAGCGCCAAAGTCTTGTAGAGGGAGAAGCCAGGCCGTGGCACTAGGATGTTCTGGCCTGGATTGGCCAGCACTGCCAAGGCGAGCTCTATGGCCTGGCTGCAGCCGCTCGTTAGGATGACGTCCTACAGAGAGCACATGGAAGTGAGTGGAACCTGCAGCCACTTCAAGGAGCCCTAGCCATGTGGGAGTTACTAAGTGCCCCAGGCTCTGCCAGATAAGAGCTTCTCGGCCAAAAAGGCTAGTGCAGAGCCTGACTGAAAACAGAAAACCTCCACCAGCTGGGGAGCTCAGATTCCTTCCTTGAGGCGGGTGGCTGAGAGAAGCCCAGGGCAGGGGATGGGAGCTGCAGGAGATCAGTGTGAGACTAGGTCACAGATTGGCCTTAGGTCCCACAGCTGGGCAGAGGGGGTGAGAGCTGGGGCAGGACCCCCACCCATGTCGCATGGTCTAGGCTCAGGCAGCAGCACCCTGTCTGCACTGCACTGGGGTGCCTCAGCCAGGTGCCAGTACCTGGGCCTCTAAGGGTGCCTCTGGGCAGTTGTAGTATGCAGCCACCGCTTCCCGGCAGGACTGGTAGCCTGGGGAGAGAGGAACCAAACGTGAATGGGAGGCTTTTACCCAACGTTCCCCTTTTTTTGCAAGGACAAGGCTCACAGCTGCCAGGCCAGCCAGGGCAAACCCATTTGTCAGTGACACTGTCCTGCCTCAGGTCAGGCAACATGCAACCCCAGGCTTGGGCCAGGAGGGTCATCAGCAGGGATAGACCCCGGCCAGGGAGGCAGGCTCCAGTGCCAATGCATCCTGGACATTAAGTTGATGAAAGCAGGATGGAGCACAGCCAGGGAGTTGCTCTGATGCAGCAGGAGGCTGATATACAAGTGTTGTGACATGACCTGCACTGAGGGCAGTCCTCCCTGTCCTGAGTCCCTCAGTGTCACCAAGGGGAGGGAGTCTTGTGAGGCAGGTGTGATCTATGCTCTGTGAATGCTGTTTGCACTAACTATTTGCAAACAAGGCGCATGTTATCCTTGAAGGCAGGGAGCACAAGGGGAGTCCTGGCCAAGGCAGACCAGGAAGGTACTTGGCTGTAATCTCCCACAGGGAGACAATTCTGAGCCCTGCTGGGGTGCTGAGACCCTGCCTGCTCTAGGGGCTGGGGAGGGGGGAGGGAGGGTGGGGAAGCACAGCTTCTGTGGAAAGCTCTGGGCCTTCAAGGTACCTCAGGGAAAGCACCTATATGATGCCCACTCACAGGGAGGGGTGCTCACGGCGACTGGGGGATGCACATGCTTGTGTGCCCGTGAGAGCGCTGGTGAGGGCAGCTGCAGGAGAGATGTGTGTGGGCTCCATGTCCAGGCCATGTGGAGGGAGCTGGTACATGTCTTCATCCTGCCCTCACAGGAAGAGCCGTGTCAACTCACCAACAGATGGAGCATAACCGTTGTAACGTCCTGAGTCCAAAATCTCCTTCACAGCCTGGGTGACCTCATCGTTTGTGGGAAGATTTCCAAAGACTGTCGGGTCTCCTTTTGGAAAATTGAAAAATAGCAAAATTCTTACTGATCTGTGGCAGGCACAGAGCTGTGTGGCAGCCTGGCATGTCCCCTGGGTGTTTCCAAAAGCTTTGTGCTTCAGAGCCCTGCATTCTGCCAGCCCCACAATCCACCCTGCTGCCTGAAAGCTCCAGCCACAGCACTAGTGCTTACCTAGGGACAAGGAGATCATGGCTTTCCTTGGGTTGGGCTCCACTTTCATGCTGTCTACGATGGCTCGGACTGGATTGAAAGTCTTCTTTGACATTTCAGAAGCCCTGACAGCCCATCTTGGCTTCCGGCCCTTCACCTTCCCCAGCGACAGGCTGTTCCCATTGGTATTGAGATGAACATCCATCACAGGCGCACAGTCACCGTGGCCATTCACTTGGATCAGGTACGAGTCCATCCTGAGATCTATCAGTGGGAGATGGATTTCCTGGCTTAGCTAACATGCCAGACAAGGGTTCTGCCCATCTAGGGACACAGCCCATGGCTCTCCAAAAGTAAGACCTTTGAAAGCTATCAGACCCTACCTACTGCTCATGGGCAAGTCAGTCAGCAGCAGCATGTAGGGGTATACTGAAGGCCAAGATGGCAAGAAATCCCCCAGATAAATGAGAGCAAGATGCAGCGGGACAGAGACAAAGGCGTTGTCTGTGCTCACCTCACCACTGCCTAGCATGGCTTGCTGTGCTAGGGAGGAGGCATCCCCACTACAGCCACTGGCCCCCACTACAGCCACCCGCCAAGAGTTAGCAGCCTGTTGTAGTCACTGCTCGACTGCAGATTCAATGTTCCACTGATAGGAGGGCCGGATCACTCCCCCACAGCTACCAACTTGCAGACCTCAAGCTGTAACCACAAGGATCAGCCCACTATGTGTGTTCACACTTGGAACGTCCCTGCAGTTTGCAGACATAAGCTCAGTGCTGTTAAAATCAGACCTCAGATGATAAAAACGTAGTGCTGATCGATCCCACGCTCTCAGGATATACTGGGCAGTGTCAGAGTGTGGGGTACAGACACTTGCCTCTGTCAGCAGAGCAACAGGGAGAAACAGTCCAGCCCAGAGACCTTCGATCAGAAGGCAGTGCCTAGAAAATGGAGCAAGGGGGTTATCAGGGAGCTGACACTGCCCCGGGCAAAAGGCCTGTAGCCCTGCCCGAGGCTGGGTAACAAGGCATAGCAGAGGAAAAGCTGCCTTTCTAGGCCTCAACAAGCACACCTGAAAGTAACTTAAGCACCTGAGCACAAAGCATGCAGCACAAAGCATAAGCGAGTCCCAACCAACCAAAGCCTTACTCAAGAACTGCTGCTGACTTAGGGCTTTCCACCGGGCTGCAGAAAGTTAGAGACAGGGCACAGGGCAGGCAGACACCTCCTGGGTCACTGAGCTTATTCTTGCTGTCACTGGCACCCTGTCTTGTAATCCTGCCATAAGTAGCTCATGCTCTGTCACCATACTACCCTACTCACCTGCTCCACTGAAAGGCAGTACACTGAAGCGTGGCCCTTTCCTGGCAGTAATTAGCCCCTTGGACAGCCAGATGCTACACTCATGGGTATTCAGGACACAGCAGACGAGGGAGAGCAAACTACCCCATCCTCACTGCAGGCACACTGAGCTGGAAGGCTTGTAGCATCACCTGGCAGTCCAAGCAAGATTTGCAGCAGAATTTCACTGAGGTTTGCACCTAGGAATGCCCCATGCTGCTGCAGTTACTCTGCCAGCAGTGCCTTGTTAACCTATTTATAGCAAATGAGGCTGATCTAGTGGGGCTGGTGGTCATAAAGCAAGACCTTCAGCTTCCCTGTTGCAGGCACCTTCTGTGTCTCCTCTCCACAAGGAAATGGAGTTGAGGAATGACACGACACAGCTGCCTCAAAACTTAGCACAGAGATGAGCCATATACCCCAGTTCAACATCAGGGATGAGTCCCAAGTGCAAAGTCTGTACCAGCAGAGCCTTCACAACACCCACCAGCATGGCTCTTGTGCGAGGGGGAACTGCATATGCAGGCAGAATGGACACCTTCACTGCATGTACCCAGGGCAGGCCCCCCCACTTCCCCCCA